TGTCAGCAATAAAGCTGCATTTTGAGTTTATCCCCTGAGTCCGTGAGTTTGCATTTTGGGTCCTCATCCTGCCTGCCACACAGCGACCATGACAGAATATTTACTGCACTGTAAATAAGTCCAGCATTTGGGTCCTCCTTTCCCCACATCCCCACGGTCGGCCAGCGCTAACCGTGACGGAAACACACTGCATTTTCAAATCTTCTATGGGAAAATATTCTGAATACAAAAAATGTGTTTCCAAAACTTTATTTAACTGTAAAGAGACGCCAACGACTAAAATGTTCATTACTGTGAGAAATGGAAAGTGTCATCCGTGCTCCTGTTGTCTCACCTTTTCGTTTAGAGGATCGTTTCTTGTAGAATATCAGCACAGACACTGAGACCAGGATGATGGTGACCGTCAGAGTCAGACCCACATACAGCCCATACTGGTTCTGTCCAGTTAATGATGGGATGACTGGTGAAAAAGATCAGAGAGCTTTAGCTGTGGTTAGATACGTGAACAAAAATAAATTAAATAAATAAAAATCTAGACAGAAACCCCAGAGGAGAAAATAAAGGAAAAAATGTGAACAACTTCATTTTCTTAATTTTCTTCACAAAGACTGTGAAAGTGATAAATTAAATATTTGTGTTATTTATCTTTTATATACTGAGGCCTGAAACACTAACAACTGCAATGATCAATAAAAATATTATTTAGCTACCAGAGACGTTAAAGTGGACCTATTCTGCTCATACAGCTTCCATGTATTTTTATTCTTGGTCTGTACTCCAGTAACTTTGTGTTTTTACAGTTGAGCCTCGTGTGTTGGAGCAGCCCATCAGATCATTCTCTGTCTGAAACAAGCTGTTTCATCACTTCTCAGCTTTACGTCTTCTTTTGAGGCTGATCCTCAAAAACAGGAGGTTTGAAAGCAGGTAGACGGGGCTTCTGTGACCACAGCAAAGTCTCCATAAGGCTTCTCCACTTTATTTTATATTGTACAGAGTAGAAAAACTCCAAAAGGTTGATTCTGTTCATCTGCATGTAACTTTTTCAGTGGGAGAAACAGTCTAACACTCAGAGCAGTCTGCAGCCTGAGCTGTTGGCTCACAGGGATCACTGTACAGACACTGAGCTCATTATTAGAAACTTTGCTCGTGTTCAACATGAACATCCACCACTGGAACAGCAGATATATGACAGGAAATAAGGAACAGCTGAACAGCTCCACTCTGACAACATTTGATTAATGTCAG